TAGATAGATAGATAGATAGATAGATAGATAGATAGATAGATAGCTAGATAGATAGATAGATAGATAGATAGATAGATAGATAGATAGATAGATAGCCAGGCCTTGCTTTATCTAGCCAACAGCGAAGAACACACACAAAATTTCTTATTATACATTCTAAGGGCTGTAAGTAGTAGGAAAATCTTATAGTTTTGCTTTCTTTCTTCTTCATTTGAATTTCTAAGCCTCTTGTTCTTTCTTTCCCACATACAATGAAATCTACAAGTTAATATTGTTACTATTAGCTTTATTGAGATGCAGCATATGTCCCAACAAGGGACCCAAAGCAGCTGACAACATTAAAAATCACACAATTAAAAACACAATAAGTGAAATATTAAAAGACAAATTAAACAATATATGATTTAAAATACAATTAAAAGATTAAAACATGGAAAAGATTAAAATTGTCTGCTAAAATGGGGTTCAGGGATTCAGTTGTAATTGTTAAAAGCCTGCCTGAAGAGATGGGTCTTTAGTTTTTTTCAGAAGGATAACAGGGAAGGGGCCATCCTGATCTCCCGAGGGAGAGCATTCCGTAGCCTGGGAGCTGCCACAGAGAGGGCTCTCCCGACGATCAGCTGTTTGCTGATCGTCGTAAAGAGAAAATCGGTTCCCGAAGCAGGGAACCGATCATTGTTAAATGAAAAAAAAAACAATTTAAACCATCGTTTAGCAATCGCAAAAACCTAATCATACAGCTATTTCCTCGTTAAGCAAGGCAATCATTAAGCGAGGCACCACTGTACTCCAGTACACTCTTCTCACTGTTTATATGGGTCTGCATCACAGTGTGAAAGCCAGTTATGGAAAATTTGCTGCAGAAAGCTATACCAGGATGCGAGAGACGGAGTCAAAGAGGCATGAAATAAAATACAGTGTTTCCTTTTTTGCTTGAGGATGGGGGGGCTTTGTTCACTCAGGACGACAGAGGGACAGACAGTGATTGTGGCCCTTGTCTCAAAGTATGTGCAATCTGAAACCTAACATAAGGGACCAATGAGTGTAGGATAGAAAGAAAAAGAAGGTTATGTACATCTTTATCTCAGGGCCAGATGAAGTCCAACCTGGAAGCCACAGAAAACAGTGGGGGCAACCGCAACTTGTACTGCCTGGCCTGTGTAATTTTTGGAGAACAATGAGACAGGGTTTCATTCTGCTCCAAGTGGCACAAGCCTTATTTTCAAGTTAAAAATACAGCAGCATACAACTGTGTCCAGATTAAGTAAGAAAAGGTAAGCAATATAAACATAAAAATGGAGCAGAACCCCCAGCCCCTCTTAAATTGTTTCAGGATTAAGAATTATGACAGCAGAATAGCCGAGGACCTATTACTTTAAACATGCAGAAGGCAAGCAGCATAGAATCCAGTCACTTCTAGCTGGCAATTAATGAGTCCCCACTTGGATTCTTTAACATGTGTCACAGCAACAGGATTTCAGCCGACAACATTGTTTACCCTAAAATTGGATAG